ATTCAAAACATCACTCTGTGAAATTTCAGAAAATGAAAATTGCTTTGAAGTGTCAGGATATTTAAATAACTTTAAACTATTAGCTTGTCCCGGTAAAGATGTCCTTACTGAAGAAATAAAATATTCATTAAATAAGTTAGCAATTTTTTCATGATCAGAAACAAGGTCCTTTTACTGAGATTTGTGAATTGTTATTAAATGTTTTATTGTTACTTTCACCTGTCACTGACTTAATCGTTTCCCTTAATATTTCTGGATTCTTACCGGCTGAAATAATTAGATTTTTAAAATATTGTTGTTTGGCTTTGCATAATTCAGCAACACATTTATTTCGGTAACTGTTTAAACGAGACCGATTTTCAGAAGTTTTTGATACTCTATAAGTTTTCATTGAAGAAGCTTTCAACTTTAGGAGATGTATTATAGAGGCATTCAACCATGGAATTTTATTTTTCCGGACTGGAACTTTACAAGTTGAAATATAGTTTTCCTGTATTGTCTCCAACTTATCATAAAAATTTGACAAAATGCGATTTGGATTTGACAGAGAAATACCCTCATTCCAGTTAGTATTCTCAATATCAGGCCTGGACCACTGGCCTGACTGACTGACCACTGGTTATTAAACAAATGTAAAGTTTTTCCTTCACCTGCAACTGAAAAGACAAAAGTTTTGGTGTTTTTGGGCATGTCAGCATGTTTGTCTGCTAGCAGAATATTTCATGAACCAGGGGGACAGGTATTTACAAAACCTGCAGAAATTACTCATTGGACATACATTTATAACTGATGGTTTAGAGTCAGACCACATGAAGATGGTCACCTTAACCAACTCAAACTGACTATAACTCTGTTAGTTTTACTTATAATGAACTGAAAATGTGGCAGCATCAACACACACTTCAGATTTTTGCTGAAACCTCGGTAGTAAGTGTTCTCTGTATGTTACAAAATATCTCACAAACCACTAGATTGGCACATATTATTTTCCTATATTTGATCTAAAAATAGCCACTGTGACTGACATTTATGTTTATTTCTGTTTTAGTTTTTTTAATGCTAGAAGAGTAGAATTTTGAAAAACGATAGTTTCGTTGCATGCCTAAATTTTATTTTATCATAAGAAAATTTACAGTACCAGTAATTATTGTCAGGGTATAATCTTGTCAGAATAGCAGGATTTAAAAAAAATAATTAATTCTATAATAAATTATACCCTAGAACTCTTTCTTAAACCATTGCTGTTAATTATTAACAGGGAACGTGTTAAAGATTAGTTTTAGGCAAAAAAAAAAAAGGTAAACTGTATGACAACTGTTGTAATTTTTTGAATTTCTAAAACATGCTTCAAATCTACGAAAAAAGGTTGCTTTTGAGAGATTTATATTGCTAATATTTCTTACCAGATGATGACCATGTTTGTCTTTATGGGTTAAAATTGTGAAACAGTCTTTTAGAGGCGTCATATTAATTAGAACATGTCTGATATGATGTCTATCACATGATACTTGAGTTGTCAAAAACAACTCAAGTATCCCGTCTCAGTGTTCTGTATGATGAACAGTCTGTAGTGCGTGAGAGAACATTTCTAACATGACTACAAAGTGTTTGCAGCAGAAATTAATCCCTGCATCAACAATATACTGCAGCTCACAGGGACATAATAAAAGATCGTACATTTCATAGTTCTGATCTTCAGTCTCTTGTTGGACGGAGAGTTCCTCCAGGGTGGCATCCATGTCCAGCTGGTTGGTCTCAAGTTGTCTCAGAAGAGTCTCTCTCTGTGCACACACACAAACACACGTGCGCACACACACACACACAATTAAAGAACTGCAGCTACAAGTTGTGTTGTCTCCAATGAAATAAATAAAAACAGTAATAATTTGAGACAAATACTTAATTTGTAAACACTCCAGAAAAAACATAAATCAGTATTAAAGTGAGTTTATCTCAGCACTTAAAAACACCAAATAAATACCCTTGATATCAAAATAAAGCTAACACTAGCAGATTTCATCAGGAGTGTAAGTATCACATCATATGCTTTGTTTCAGAGATACAAAGGATGGAACATAGAAAAAAAATTCCCCTTGCCTGAACATGTTCTGCATTATACAGAATATAACCTTTTCAAATAAGGCTAAAAACTCCTGGAAACCATAAATCCACTTATGGAAATTACCTGTGCAAAACTTTGTGCTGCTAAAGTAAACTACAACAAAGTTACAGAGGTTTTAGTAAAAAAGAAATATCTAGGCATTTTTTCTTTTGTCACAGACTGGCACAATTTGGCACCACCTGCAAAAGTACATATTTTTTTAGGTTTTTAGTTACAAAACCTAATAAACTTGATAAATAAGTAAGCTAACTAGCAAAAACTAAAAAACAGCATGTAGACAACTGGAAGTCCGGTGAATGACACTGCGCTTTATGTGTAAAACGTGTTTGTAGATTGGAGCAGCAGCCAGCCTTACGCGGGACTATAACTTCAGTTAGGATTGGTCGAATTGCACAATCCTGGGAACCAGTAGAATCAAGCTATCAACAACAAGTTCATGTCAACCTGACCAATCACACACTATAAGGAGACAAAGGTGTGTGACACAGCCTGAATGACTTTCACCTTTGTCCAATCAACTTCTTGTAATCGGGTCAGACGGGGTGATTTTGGAGGAGAAATTGCTTGAAACTCATACTGGGAAATATCGATCTGTAAATACAAGTTTATGTTGGTGGATTAAGGATTTGGAGGAAAAAAATCATGAAGGTAAGAAAACTGATGTTTTATGATTTTCAAATCCAAGCGCTAGTCTATTTTTGCTGCTAGTTGAGTGAATTCTGGTTGGATTGTGATGAAACTTATACTTTTAGAATCTGTGAGGTGTCTGCTTTCAGCAGACATGTTGTTTATGTGTGAAGAAGTCCCAGATTGAACAGCTGAGACCAAGTTTTGCTGAGACACCATTTTGTGCAGTTTGTTCACATATAGATTCAACTGCTTGTTGTTTTATCTGTGTCTGGTGGACAAAGAAATGGTTTCTATGAGTTTTAACTAAGATTCTGACATTTCTATGTGTGACATGTGTGGTATCTACCACACACGTCTATGTTCAACTATGAAAACGTAGGTTGTTAAAAGGTAGGGGAAAAAAGTGTGATTTGCACTTTTGGGGCTTAAGTGGTTAAAATCTCTAAAAGTTTTTCTCATGAACAAATCATGTAGTCATGTAAAAAATGAAAGTGTAGGGGTCACCTCGAGTGAAATTATCAAGGAAACTGTCTTGGACCTAAGACCTCTGATGGGCCTTTAAAGGGACAAAAACTCTGTTCCACTCAGAACTGAATTTAGGCCACCTCTGGTCGCCTTAACTTTTCAAAGAGACATTCTCTTCTTTTTTAATCAGATAATGGACAGAAGAATCTTTGTCTTATTTGATTTATGGTTCTCTTAACTGAAAGTTATTACGCATTTTGATAATCAGTGAATGTTTATCAAAGTTACAGGAGTAAGTAAGTAAGTAAAGTTTTATTTATAAAGCGCCTTTCACAGAAATATATTCACAAGGTGCTGTACAATCATGAACAGTATAAAATGGTAGAAAGAATAAAATGAAACAGAAAAACATAATTACACATAAGCAACGAAAAATTGAAACATCAACTCAAGAAATTAATTTCAGAAATTGTAAATCAAACACAAGGTCAATGCAGTTCAAAATATACAATAATACACAAAAACGTAATGAATGCGGGAGAGAAAAATATGGCATAAGTTAATAGTAAATAAAACACAGATTGTCGAGCATTCACAATGGAGGCAGGCCTGCAGTAATGGTGAAATGGTTAGCTAAACGCTTGAGTAAAAAAGTGTGTTTTAAGGAGTGTCTTGAAAGAGACAATGTTAGGGAGCGTAGATTAAATGGGAGTTCATTCCAGAGCCTGGGACAGAGAGGAGAAGGTAGAAATGATTCAGCCTACAACTGAAAATATGGATGGAGGACCTCAGTTTAGCTTGTTAGTTTGTCGCACTAGCACCGAGCTAATAAATGTAAGGTAATATAGCGTTGGGGCTAACGCTAAAGCTAACAGACTAAGTTGAGGTTCTTCCATGAAGCAGCTCTGTTGTCCTCCATCCATATTTTCAGTTACAGGCTGAGTCATTTCTACCTTCTCCTCTCTGTCAACGCTCTCCGGTTTCATTTAAAAGAGTCGATCATCAGATATTGTCCAAGATTAACCTTCAGGGTGGATATAGCTCGCTAGTAGCCTTTCACCAATGACATAGTTGATGTCATCAGTTACCCAGAATGCTTTGCGTGTAAATAAAATGACTCTGTCCGTGTTAAAATATATTTTAAAAGATTTTAAAAAACTAAACAGCCTACAGTATTTTTACAGTCTTTATTTTAGTTAAAATATATGTTTATCAAATAAAGTTTAATGTTACAACTAATCGTGGATCCCTTTAAGACTTTTACATTATTTTGGGTTCACACGTGGTGCAGGGTCAGCTGCCAGCTTTTTGATTTATTTTTTTTTAAGATCCTTGATGTGATGTGGAGGAAAGACTGGAAAACAATGAATGCTAGCTCTGCTCAGGCCATTTAAAGACTCAAAAAGCGGGGTTACAAGACTTTGCCTTTTCAGTGCTTCACAGTTTGAGTAGATCCATTAGTTTTGTGACCAAAAGGCTCGATCTAAAGGAGGATGCCAACAATAATTACCCATGCTGGATTATAAACAACACAGCCATGTGAGGACACTCTCTGCTGCGGTCATAACAGGAACTTTTTTAAGAAGCCTCAGAAGTCAAAAGTCTGCAACAAAGTGGTGATTTGCTTTTTATTAAGAGTATTATATTAATCATGAGCATAATCAGATCTGCCTCGTTCATTGCTCAGAAAGCTACACTGAGCTCCTCGAAGTGAGGCTGCAGGAGAGCCGATGGCTAGCAGGCTAACAAGCTAACAAGGTAGCTTCTCTTCATGTGAAACAACTCCAGGAAAAACAGTAGGGTGACCAGACGTCCCAGACGTCCCCGATTTCCGGGTACAGTCCCCAGCTAAAACTGTCCCGGAGAAGTCCCAGATTTGAGTTTTTTTATGAACGAGGGGGAAAAGTTGCTTGTAGATTCTTATTACTGCAGTCGACTCCAAGCGCGGCTGTCTGTGAGCTTGTTGTTCAGCGCTGTCACGGCACAGGGAGGAGAAGAAAAAAGCAGTCAGTCTGCAGCGGCTGGCTCTGTTCCTCACCGGTCAGCCGGTGTGTGATCAGGTTAGAAGTGAGTTCTCCTGTTAAATAAACTGTTTAAACTTAGCCCACCTGACCCCGGCTCACTGTTTCTGCAGGGCCAGAGCAAGCACAGCAAGTGGACATGTCCCGGCTCGTCAGCTATTAACAAGCGTTAGCTGAACCTCCACATTCAAGTTGAATTAGAAATAATGGGCCTCATGCAAGAACATGTTCGTATTCTTATCCTAAATTTCTCTTACTTTTGTTCGTACAAAGGGTTCGTAAGAACATGCCACGTCAGATTCAACAAACTCTTCTATCTTCAGGAAAAGTGCGTAAATGAGCTGCGTAAATTCCACCTGTTCTGTCCAGCTGCTCGTGCACGCGAGAGGAGATTAGCATAATTACCACCCCAAAAACACCATATAAGGCTGTGTTTCCTTCCTCAGATACAAGGAAGTGTCCATTCATTCATGAGAAATGACAGCGATAATTATAAAAAAGGAGAAGATTACGAGTTCAGAGATTGAAGTCCGTCTGTRAGAGATCCAGAAAAGAAAATCTGCCATTTTTATCAGGTCAGCTGTGGGATAAAAAAAGAGCTGCTAAAAGTATAAACAACTGTGTTAAATCATTTTCATTTATTCAGAAGCCGCAGCGCAGCGCTGTGCACCGTGCACAGTATCATAGGTGCGCATAATAAGAAGTCAGATTGTTTGACGTCTTTGGTGTTACATAGCAACAAGTGTTTACCTTAGCAACTAAAATTTTGATTTTGGGCTCTGCTTCGTAGCTCTATTTAGCAGGTGGGAAATCATATTTTTTTAATATTTTTTCATTACAGTTGTGAATAATTTAAATCACAATTTTAAATAAAACATTATATGAATGCAAAATATACAAAATACACATTTTTGGGGGCTTTTTCCTTCATTTCACCTTTAAGCTTAAAGTTCGTGTGTTTTATCAGAAATGAACTACAGTCCTGCCCTTTGTAAAATAAAACCGAACTTAAAATTTCCACTATTCTTGAACTATTGTATTTAAGATGATCTGTCTTGTTTCCCCTGTTTTGATATGTCAGATTTTCTTGTGTCTGACTCGATCATGTTCCAACAGAACTTTGAGAAGTTGTTGTTTTTTTTGTTATAAACACAGTTTTGCTCTAAACTTTGTGCATGCTTGCCTCATGCTTGTGAAGAAATTTATAGTTATTATAGATTAGTACTGATGTTAGAAACAACATTAGAGAATTAGGGTTTCCTTTTTATAACACTTTTATAATGTTTGATCTATTATGTGTTAGTTGAAATAGAGTAGTTACATGTCCGAATCATAAACAACACATAACTGAACCGTTATAATAACAGTAGATGAGATTTTTGTATGAATGCCTGTGATTCAGCCATAGATCAGTAGGGGGCGAACTCAGGCATTGAAGAATCGTGTATAAAAACATGTACTTCCTGAATTTTTGTCAGTGTGGTTTCCTTGTCAGCCCGGTGACAAATAAACCTCACTCAGGTCCAGAATTCTGGTGTTGTATGACTTTATTCCTTTCACAAATCATTTTATTTAAAAATTGTGTTTTCATCTTGACTTCAGTCGAATTGAACACGTATTTTCTTATACTTGTTTCACTGACTTCCACAATGTTTTCTCTTAATTTCTTTGTGTTCCTGAAAGCCAATAAGTTGCACTTTGGAATGACCTCATTACTGTATCATGCTTTTGATCGGAGTTTGTTTTACAGAATGAAATGTCTGAATGAGTGCTCATCCAAGACTGGTGATTCCCTACTTTTTGCCAGGGGTTGTGGTCGCCAGCAGTAGCAGCCCATACAAAGACTGTTAGGAAAGATTTTAGTTCAAGGACCTTCTTCATTTTGTAAGATTTTCAGCATTATGTCCAATTTTGCAGTTCACTCACAGATACTGGCACAAAGCTTTCTGGCACATGCACTGAACCAAACGACACAAACGTGTTCTGATCAGAAACAGCTTACAGAAACATCCTGTTGTGTGTCCTAGAAAGAGCAGCTGCTACAGAAACAGTGAGAATAAGAACTAACCTGTAACTGAAGGAAGGGGATGTTGAAGAACCTGTGCAGATACTTCAAACCAAAACCATTCTTCATAGAAGATTCAGCGTAGTGGATATAGGATGATCCCATTGGCCTGGAAGTGACAAGCAGAAAATGAGACTCAAGTTTTAACTTCAGACAGTCTATGAGCAAAACTATTACAATAATATGAATCCTTTTTTTGTAAATCTTAAACTACTGTACTATATGGCCCAGCAGAGGATGTACTTCCTGCGACAGCTGAAAAAAGCTAAGCTACCGGTCAGGCTAATGGTGCAATTCTACAAGACATCATAGAGTCCATCCTCAGCTCCTCCATCACAGTGTGGTATGCCGGGGCTACTGCCAGGGACAGACACAGACTGCAGCGCGTTGTGCGCTCTGCTGAAAAGGTGATCGGCTGTAGCCTCTCATCTCTCCATGACCTCCAGGACTGTGAGGCAAGCAGGTCGGATCACAGCTGACCCTTCTCACCCTTCACACAGCCTGTTCATACCACTCCCCTCAGGCAGAAGGTTTCAGTCCATTCGGACCAGAACATCCTGCCATATACAGCTTCTTCCCCTGTACCATCGGACTCTTTAACATTTAGAATCACGTCACTCTATAACTCTGCCTTGCCCACTTTATCACTGGTTTTTAAATAGTTGGGTTTCAGTCACGTGGTTTCGAAGGCGGAGCGATCTCCACTGGAGGCCAGGGGGGTAAAATGTCTATGGAGGAAACTACTGTAGAGTTTATTTTGTATTTTTTTAGGTCCTATTTCAAGATATATAACAATTTTTTCACAAATATGTCAGCCATGACTCGTATGATAAAGATTGTAGGGGTCACCTCGAGTGAAGAAACAGGAGTACTGCCTCAAAGCAGGTCTC